TGCATTATTCTCCTCCATCTTTCCCAATCCCACCCACCCCCTCAAGTTACACAGTTCCATTTTCACATATGTGCATTGAATATAATGATGGTATTCATTCATCCTTCCTCTCTTGGTTTGTTTGCTCCTACTCACCTTAACCTTCCCCTAACAAAACATGCTTTAGCATCCTGGTATTCATTTTGTTAAACTGATCATCATTTGTTCAGTAACAGCTCTGGAATCCTCCCCTAGTATACCATGTTAGTCAATTTGTATATATTTGCCTATAACTCTATGTATTTTCATGTTTATAATTTAGATCTAATTTCCACATATGAAAAAAAAGCATGCACCATTTATCTCTCTGAGTTTGGGAAAGCCATCTTTTATTACACCAATTATTTCATGGAGCTTGCAGAGTGGGTTCTGAAATCCAAATTTTAAATCTTGAGAAAAATAGAAGGAAAATTATCTTATTATAAGGGAGTAAAGTATTTAAACTCCAAGAGTTCTCCTTTTAAAAACAGCACTTCAGGAACTAAAGGCATGGCTCCAGTAATAGAGTGATAGCTATGAGAGAAAAGGCCAAGTGAGAATGGGAGGCCCTGGGCTCAAGCCCCCAAAAATACGTCAGTAAGAACAAAAACAATAATTAAAACAAATATCTACATGGTGCAGGATTCATAAACAGCAAAAAGAAGTACTAGCAAGCTTCCTTTCTGCCTCTACTCTTTAGACACCCAATTTCCCTTCCACTACCATCTTGTTAGTTTGTTCTTCTTGACTGGTGGGAGATTTTACTAAGGGTAGACTTGTAATTATCTGATGCTGGGAACCTATGGTTCCCTGGTGTTTATTTCACTGTCAAAGGGAGTAACTACAGTGTCTATGGTTAGAGTAGTGTCTGAGAAAATGCTCAATGAAGCCAGGCACTTGTGGCTCACACCTGTAATCCTAACTACTTAGGAGGCTGAGATCTGAGGACTATGGTTCAAAGCCAGCCGGGGCAGGAAAGTCCATGAGACTCTTATCTCCAATAAACCACTAGAAAACTGAAAGTGGCACTGTGGCTCAAGTGGCAGAGCACCTGCCTTGAGCTGAAGAGCTGAGGGATAGAACTCAGGCCCAAAGTTCAAGCCCTACAACCGACAAAAAAAAAAAAAAAAAAAGAAAAAGAAAAAAAAGAAGAAAACACTTAATGTGTCCTGTTTCCAGGAAGCATTCCCTGAGATACTTTATAAAGAGAATGCACCTTCAGAGAGGCCCCCTTAGATGCCCACATCCTGCCAGGCTTCCTGCCATCCTGGGAATAGATGTTCCCAACATTCCAATTCACTGGCCACTGAGGCTTCTGAAATATGACTTGTGTGGCTAGAGACTGAGCTGTATGTATGTATGTGTGTATGTATGTATATGCCAGTATTAGGCAAAAACACAGGATTTTCACTTGGCTTTTACACTTGAGGCTGGCATTCTACCATTCTCGACTTCTGGCTTTTTGCTGGCTAACTGGAGATAAGACTTTCATGAACTTCTGCCTAGTCTGGTTTTGAATGGAGGGCCTAGATCTGTCTCCTGAGTTGCTAGGTTTATAGGCACGAGTTACCAGCACTCAGCTAGACTTTTACTCTATTAATTAAAAAAAAAAAATTGGGGGGGAGGGGTGTGTGTGCGCGCCAGTATTGGGGCTTAAACCCAGGGCCTGGTGCTATTAGCTTTTTTGCTCAAGGCTGGTGCTTTACCACTTGACCCACAGCTCTAGTTATTTCTAGTTATTTGATGCTTAATTGGAGAGCCTCACAGACTTTCCTATTTAGATTGACTCTGAATTGTGATCTTCCTGAGTATCTAGGATCATAGGCATGAGACACTGGCACTTGGTCAACCCTATTTAATTTTTAACTATTTTTAATTAAAATTTAAACTGCCATATATGGCTACTGAATTGTACAGTTTAGCGCCAGAGAGAGCCAATTATCTTTGTGCTAAGGTGATGATAGACTAGTAGCCTGTCTACCTATACTAAGTACCTTTCAGCTCTCCTTTCCCTCCCTCGGAAAATACAGTTTATAAGCCTCACTATAAAACTCATCTTTGACACAAGATCTTCCTCAGCTAAAGTCTTGATGTGAACACCAATGTTTGACTTGGCATTGCCAGATCCTTCCCTCTAGCAATCATCTCTCGCTTGTGGCAGCAGGCTAGCAGCCAATTCCACCTGCTCTACCTGCCACCACAGTTCAAATAGAATTGGGAAACATGCTCAATCTCTACCTGAACAAGAGGGAGGGGGGGCTCCTTCTATGCTGCTAATGTATTGTGAAATGCATTGTGCCAATGTCTTTATAGATGCATTTCAGGAACTTAAGTGAGACTAAAAACTGCCCAAAGCAGGAAAGATTATATCTATATCTATCTATCTATCTATCTACACACAAACAGATACAAGATATTGATTAGGGTAGTTTAACTATGATAGTTTCAAAATCTGCACCAAGACTTTTGGCTAGTAAACACCAGAAGTGCACACTGTGGCCAACAAAAACACTCCTGATTTTCCCCAGATTACTAGGTGTAGCTCTGCCATTAGACTTTGTGGGTTGCCAGGTGCCCTGACTTTAACCCTGGAAGGAAGCAGTAGCTCAACGAAGCTACTACTGAGTGATAGCTTATGGCAAGTTACTTCTGTTGGATCGTTTCCTTAACAGTAGATGGAAACCTTTTGAAAACCAAGATCGGGATTCTGCTACTCCAAGCATTAGGAAGAGGCCGGGCACCAGTGGCTAACGCCTGTATTCCTAGCTACTTAGGAGGCTAAGATCTGAGGATGATGGTTCAAAGGCAGCCTGGGCAGGAAAGAATGTGAAACTCTTGTTTCCAATAAATCACAGATAAAGATGGAAGTGGTGCTGTGGCTCAAATGGTAGTTTGCTACCCTTGAGCAAAAGAGCCCACCCCCAGAGCTCAAGCCACAGGACTGTCAAAATAAGGGGGAGAGAAAAAAAAAAAAAGAATCCTAGAAGAAATATCTGGGGGGAATATCTCCCAGCTTAAACCTCAGGGATCCAATGAACTGTGATCAGGTCTAAAGAGTCAGGCCTCAGATGACAGAAGAGTATAGTTCCCATAGACTTTCACTATGGCAAGACACAAATTTCTTGAGCAGTTCGACATACCTGTATTTACATCACCCACAGTGGCTTGTTTGAAGTGGCTGTAGATAAACAGCATCTCAGTGTCAGCAGGCTGGGTCTTGAGGCGTTTGACTTCATCAGCAGCCTTGTCAAACTCAGCCTAAGTACAAAAGAGGAAGAAGAATGAAGGCTGCATCTGAGTAGAAGAGCATAACAGTCCTGTGAGATGAGGATGGGAAGGCAGTGCCCACCTTCCTTCCTGCCTTTCTTCTTTCCCTCCTTCTCTCCCTTCCTTTTTTTGTGACAGTCCTGGGTCTGGGACTCAGGGCCTGAGTGCTGTGTTTGCACAAAGCTAGTACTCTACCACTTGAGCCCACAGCTCCACTTTTGGCTTTTTTAGTAGTTAATTAAGAGACAGGAGTCTTGCAGACTTTCCCACCCTGGATTGCTTCAAAGAACGATCCTCAGATCTCAGCCTCCTGAGTAGCTAGGATGACAGACTTAGCTGGTAGCTTCTGCCATGGAAAAGCAACCCACTCAAGCTGGGTCTCCTCTACCCCTACAGGGCAGTTAAGAGACTAAACAAGAGTGGACATTAAGTTCTGGTATACTGTATGTACAGTGACTAAGGAAGGAGGCCAGGGCTGGGCCTGCTGTAGGCTCACACTCAGCGTGGCTGACTGCTGGGCCCCCTCAACCCCACCCTCACCCTCACCCCCAGCCTGACACCGGAATGGCTGGGGATCCCCGTGAAGCTCTGGTTCTCAGAGGCGCTGATAAGGGCGCCGGGCATCTCAGCGGTGCCAGTGGCAGGAGCCCGCTGGCCCCTTGCCCTGGGGCCGGGAAGTTCAGCGTTGACCTCTGTCCCAGTGCCCAGATTGGGGAGAGGCAGATAGGAGGAGCCGGAGGTCGCTCTCCAAAGCTCTGCCCGCGTCCAGGGGCCATAGCGACTGGGGTGGGGTGGGGGCTCGAGTCACTTCTCCCGTCCGTTCGCGACTCCCCTCCCCTCGAGGGCAGGCGGCTCCAACTTCTCCTGACCTCCAAGCTCCCAGCCCGGGGCCTCCTCAATTCCACAGCCCCCCCTGCCCCGGGCTTCCGGGAGCGGGGCGCAGCCGCCCCCCCCCCCCGCCCCGGGCTTCCGGGAGCGGGGCGCAGCCGCCCCCCCCCCCCCCCGCTCCCCCGCGCCTCGGTCCGCACAGCCTTCCGGCCCCCAGCCCGCTCTCTCCGTCTGGGACTCCGGATGCCCGCAGCACCGCCAACTCCACCCCACCGGCGCCTTCCCAGCAGCTGCGGACGGGGGTAGCAGCTTGAGACATCTTCAAACGAAAAGTTCTGCTCTCGAAGCCTTGGACGAAGAACCGGGGAGAGGCAGCCGTCCAAGAGCCACTGGATATCAAAACGGAAGACCCGGCGGGGCTCTGCCCGAGGATATTCCCCACACCACAGCCTCCCGCCCAGCCCTGGCTTCGCCGCCCGATCGGGCACGCGCAGTACCTGAGACATGCCGGCGGCGAGGTGACGAGGATCGCGGAGCGCCCGAGACCGGAGCAGCAATCAAGAAATCCTGGGACCGGCTAGCGAGCGCCTTTAAAAGCGCAGCCCAGGCGTTCCAACTGCGGCTCAGCCGAGTCTCAGCAGCCAATCAGGAACTAGCTTTATGCTCGGGGGTGTGTCCAGACTAGTGGGAGCCGTAGTCCCGCCCCAACCAGGGGGGCCTGATTGCGCACGCGCGGAAGAGGAGCTGCGGGGCATCCTGGGAGCAGGTGGGGTTTGCGGAGGAAGGCGGGAATCTGGTGTTGGGGGCCGAAGGTCCCGGGAGTGGGGTGAAGGGTGAGGGCCGAGCGGCGGGGACCACGGAGCCGTGGTCTTTTTGTTTGTTCCCTTCCAGTCCTCCTCCGGGGCGCGGGGAGGCTGCCGGCTCTGCCTCCGGACCCGTCGCTTCCTCGGTTCGGGAGGGCGAGTGGGTTCCGTTAGTCTCCGGGAATGGCGGCGGGTTGGACTGGGCCCCAGAAAAGCACTTGCACATTCGCCGATCTGCTCGTGTGCCCGTGGTCCTCACGCCTCAAACACGTGAACACATCCGCGTGCGCTGCGCCGTGCTCCGGCTGGGGCGGTGAAGGCGGACCACCTCTTTCCCTGAGCCCAGCACACACCACGAAGCCAACCCTCACTGTTGTAGGCCTTGGGGATACAGCAGTGGTCGAACATGAATCCTTGCAGTCCTGGAACTTCTAGTGGAGTAGTAGTACACAGTAAGTTTAGTAGTCCTTTGTAGAGGAACAGAAAGTTGCAAGTTTTGTGGGTATGTGCCAGTACTGCCCCAGAGGATCCCCCCTCTCCCCCCACCGGGCTACCGCTCTACCACTTAGCCACTGCTCGCTCCACCTCTGGCTTTTTTGATGGTTAATTGGAGATGAGAGTCTCAGACTTTGCGCCCTGGACTAGCTTCAAGCCAGGATGGTCAGATCTCAGCTTCCCGAGTAGCTAGGGTTATAGGCATGAGCCACCAGTAAGAGTTGGACGTTTTAAGTGTGTGTGTGTGTGTGTGTGTGTGTGTGTGTGTGTGTGTGTGTGTGTGTGTGGAGTTTGAGGGATGTGACATTTGTGCCAATATCCTAAGAGGAGGAACAGTGTATAAACCCTTTCTGAGAAGGCAATGAGGGAGGGAGTAGAAAGACATGAAGTCAGCGTTAAAATGATGGCCAGCTAACTAGGTGATGCAGAGGTTGGTCACTTTTCAGGGATATAGACTTTCATTCTGCTGAGATAGAAATCGTCTGGAGGCTTTGAGTAGAGATGGTGCTGAAGGGCCTTTGTAAGGTTGTTACAGTTGCTGATAGTATGGGAATTGGGAAGCACAGGTGGAGGGAAAAAGTGAGATTTGATGCTTAAGAGCCAAAAAGAATTTTCTAGTATTGGTCATAGAAGCATGGATGAAGACAGAAGTGATTTGTCACATTTGTGGCAAGAGGCCTGGACCACAAATATCCAACCTACTCTCCCCCATCCCCTTTACAGCTGTAGGTGTTTACATAGGAATATGGGAGAGGACTAAGGTTAGAGCTCAGAGTTTAGAGGCTTGTCTGACATGTAAGAGGCCCCAGATTCCATTCCCAGCACTTCAAAAAAGGTCAAGTAGAAGCTTTGACATGGCCATTCCTAATTTAATGTAGGTCAGGCTTTATGAAACATTTAAGAAGTGGGAATTGAATCTTAGGAAACAAATCTAGAGTCCTCGGTTTGTGAATAGCTTTGCTTGAGAAAGCAAAGCTAAGTAAACAACTTGTAGTTAAATTTGGGAAAATTACATGTGAACTGTGAGAAATGCAAGTTTCCACAGCAACACTTCAGAGCTCCCTCTTTTCCTTGGAGGTCTAGACAAAATAAATACTTGCAGCAGAAATGTTGGAAATGATTAGATAACTTCTGTATTTTTCTATAATGTAATTTTCCTTATCATTTAACTTCTCAATCACTTGGTGTGGAACTTTTCCTGGAGTGAGACTTTGTAGAAGGCAAGGCTGGTGAGAGTGTTGACCTTAACAAGACATTGTCCAGTTCAAGGAGGATGGATGTGTTGGTTGGTTGTTTGCAATAGACTTCATTTCCCTAAAAGGATTCTTTGTGTATTTTTTTTTTTTTTTTGGGTCCAGTTGTGGGGCCTGAACTCTGGGCCTGGGTGCTGTCCCTCAGCTCTTCAGCTCAAGGCTAGCACTCTACCACTTGAGCCACAGCGCCACTTCCAGCTTTTTTTTCTTTTTGCTTGTGTGGTGCTGAGGAATCGAACCCAGAGCTTCATGCATGCAAGGCAAGCGCTCTACCACTGAGCCACCTTCCCTGCCCTCTTTGTGTATTTTTTGTGTGCACATGAGTTGTTTAAAGCAGGTGAAGAATGGCGTGAGGAAAGACTGTGGATTCGGGGAGCAGAGTGCAAGTGACTTTAAAGAAACAGGAAGCGTTCTATTATGGAGCCCACCTTAGGCTAAACTTCAACGTAGCTGGTATGAGCCTGGTGCCTGGGCCTGCAATCTGAGCTGCTCTAGGGGCTGAGATTTGAAGATTGCAGTTGGAATCCAGATCAGGCAGGAAGATGCTCTTATATCTAATTAACCATCAAAACTTGGAAGTGGAGGTATAGCTGAAGTGATTTGAACACCAGCCTTGAGCAAAAAAAAAAAGCTAAGGGATAGCTCCCAGGCTCTGAGTTCAATCCCTAGTAGCAGCACATGGGCATGTATTCACTTACACATGTGTTGGTGTGCTTTTTGGTATATTTTCTGTCCCCTTATTGTTTGGAGATCATTTTTTGGTACCTCATCCTTGGCAAATGTTAAAAAGTCTCCTTATTGGTCTACTTCGTGCTTCTAACTCTAGGGAGTTGGGATGAGAGTCAGCTTGTAACTAGATAGTATCAAGCTGGCACTTTTAAAAGTAAACTTCAGCTGGGCGCTGGTAGCTCACGCCTGTAATCCTAGCTACTCAGGAGGCTGGCCACTCAGGAGGCTGAGATCTGAGGATCTTGGTTCAAAACCTGCACGAGCAAGAAAGGCCATGAGACTCTTATCTCCTGTAAACCACTCAGAAACCCGGAAGTGGCTCTGTGTCTCAAGTGGTAGAGCGCTAGCCTTGAGCTGAAGAGCTGAGGGACAATGCCCAGGCCCAGAGTTCAAGCCCCATGACCGACAAAAAAAAAAAAAGTAAACTTGAGAGTATACTTGGAGGAGGTTTACAAATTATATGAAACTTTTCTTACATAGTTCTACAAGACTAGAAGGGATCATTGTTTTTTCCAAGTCCTGTGCGAGTGCAGGTTCCTAAGCCCTGTTTACAAGCTCAAGCTATATCATGTGGTAACTTTTTTATTTTTTATTTTGCTGGTCCTGGGGCTTGGCGAAAGTATTGGTGCTGATCCTGAGCTTTTGCTCAAGACTAGAGCTCTACCACTTGAATCATAGCACCACTTCTGGCTTTTTCTGAGTAGTTTATTGGAGTGTTTAACGGACTTTTCTGCCTAGACTAGCTTTGAACTATGATCCTTGGATCTCGACCTTCTGAGTAGCTAGAATTACAGGCATGAGACACTGGTGCTGCATGTGGTAGCTTTTATTCACAATTATTTTAATTTTATTTTTCTACTGTTTGTGCCTGGGAGGATAAAGTTCACCATGTATTTTGGTCACTGCCTTATCTCCTAGGGCCTGACACTTCTTAGACTCTCATCTGGAGTGAATAATGTGCTTTTCTCTGAGGGAAGACAGGTTCCTTTTGATAAGCCGTGACCTTGGTAGCCAGCTAAATCTGTTAGAACTGAATGCAAAATTCTGGGCTAAAATAGAACTATTGCACGCAATCTCTTTGTTTTGGAAGCAGAGCACCTGGAAAGCTAAGGAAGATTGAGGAACCTGACCAGCCAACTTGTCAGCCAAACTGACCCAGCCAGTCAACAGAGACCACTGTCATTGTTTCAGCCTGCCTTCACACCCATGGGATGTAACTCTGACTGCCCACAGGCTCACTTTCTGGCTCTCAGCTTAAGCCAGAGAGCAAGATAAATTAACAGGAGAAGGCTTTTCTAGCCCAATGGGTGTGAATTGTCATTTGCTATTGGGTTTCTTGGTATAAATGAAACCTCTAATTTCTAAAAGTAACCTAATTGTTAAGAATTGGACTATGGTTATGGGAGAGCCTTACTGCAAGGCAGGGACATGTACAAATCATGGATTTGTCTGTTCTGCATTTATTTTTCATTTTCATTGAATGGGAGTCCCATGACAGGACTCCAGCTAAGCTGGAAGGAGATTGGTATGTTTGAAAGGGAAGGAGGCATGTGGGAAACACTTCTGGGGTAGGAATGGGAAAGACATGGGTTCTGTGAAAGCTAAGGAAGGTAAGACTGAAGTGCTTGCAGTAGAAGGGCACCCTGGCTTTCCCATGGAAAGAAGACCCTTGGCAGCTGGAATTGATAAGAAAGTCCCTCCTTTGTCATGCTTACCCCTTCCTCTGCTCATGTTTAGAGGAAGTGCATCAAGGTGGGCATGAGGGGAATGTTCGTGTATGAGTGTGTGAGATGTCCTAGAGCACTGCATTCTCCTTTCCTCCACTTCTTGTTTCTACCAGGCAGCACACCACATTGTGGTGGGTCTGAGTTGAGATATGGAAACCTGAAGTTGGCTAGAAGTAAGGAAGGGAAGGCTTCCCGTAGGATTGTTTATCCACAGGTTGGTCATTCACTGGTCAGGTTCTGCTTGTGTTCTGTCTATAAATATTTATAATTAAAGCTAGGGATAAAGCAGTAGAGTGCTTGTCTAGCACATGTATGGACCTGAGTTTGACCCTTGGAACAACAAAATTGCATCAACAACAGCAACAAAACAAAGAGAAATAGTTGTGTTTCTAGGCTTATCTTGTTCATCTTCATTAGATGTGTATATTCTTTTGTAAATCAACACTGTGTTCTGTATCTTTGCCTGTCTCTGTAGCTCCTGCTTGCACATGAGAAGCACTTAGAAAGTGCCTTCAAACTAAATTGTTAGAGATCAGTTTTCTTAATGACCTCTTTAATTACTTGTTAGCGAGAAAATTAGAGATATTAAAATCTAGCAACTGATAACTTTTGGAAGGGTAATCTCATTTTAAAAACCCCTGTATTTTGGGGCTGGGAAGGTGGCTCAGTGGTAAAGTGCTTGCCTTGCATGCCTGAGGCCCTGGGTTTGATTCCTCAGTACCACATAAGAAAAAAAAAAGCCAGAAGTGGCGCTGTGGCTCAAGTGTAGAGCTCTAGCCTTGAGCTGAAGAGCTGAGGGACAGCACCCAGGCCCAGAGTTCAGGCCCCACGATAGGACCAAAAAACAAAACAAAAAAAACCCTGTATTTTGTGATACTGCCATTTTTTTAAACCATTTTTTTTAACCTCAGCCTGAGTAGCTAGGATTACAGATATTAGCCTCCAGCTTTCAGTTGTTGTTTTTTTCCCCTCTCGTTTAGACATACTAAGCAATAATAGTGCTTTCTTTTTATTGGTGAGTAGTATTCAATATATGGATGAATCATTCCCTCATTGATGGTGTTAAGGGTTTTTGTTTTGTTTTGTTTTTCCTTTACTGGGGTTTTAACTCAGGGCTTCATTCTTGCAAGTTAGGTGTGCTACCACTTACGCTGCTCCTCCAGCCCCATTTTGTTTGGTTATTTATTTATTTATTTTTGGGTCCAGTTGTGGGGCCTGAACTCTGGGCCTGGGTGCTGTCCCTCAGCT